TGCATGCAAGTAATTAATTTCTCGTCTAGTGCATGCTACTTTTATAACACTTTGTCGGTTGTACTGGATCTTCCTTAAAAAGAAGAGTTGCTTTACCTTTAGGTTTGAAATTAAACAATGCTCTTGGGCACTTCTGTGGTCCGTTATAAACTAAAAGATGTGTGTAGCTAATCTAGCATATGATTAACCTAAGATTACAAGTAGAAAACATAGCATGAGGGGTTGATCAACAAAGTAACTGAAACTTAAGTATATGGTTCATATATTTTTTGTTTACCAATAAAACAAGCGGAGTTTGAACCCTAGCTCATTTCTTCAATGAGCCAAGGAAGTAAATTTACCCGAAACCTTCGGATCAATTAGGCCTGAGGATTAAAAATGCTTCTCATCAATAGCTTGAGTTGGGGTGACCAGTTTCTTCAAGATTGTCCACCCAGTCTACACAAGCAACATCAAAATCTAGTGCAGTCTAAGTGCTCAACAAGCTCCCATGCAACTTTAAACGCATAATCTTTCAAGGCACTTACGGGAACGATATAATAGTGTGCTGAACAGATATTGTGTAGAACTATTCTGATTTGTTAAGTTGCAGTCTGGGAAAGCTAGCAATGTTACTTGTCGAGCAAATATGGATGGTAACTAGGCTAGAACATAAACATATAACACATGCATCCAAGATCATGCCAAGGTCAAGCTGGGCTAAAGCTCAAGCATGAGAGAGCATTGCTGCGAGACTGCGATTAGAAGTAAATACAATTAAATGTGTTCAACCGAGGGGAGAACCCAAGACAGCCGTTTTATTTTTGCAATATGGTAAATGCTGAAAAAATTAATTCAGGATGCGATTTACACATTGACATCATAAGAGAGTCTACATTTTGATCAAGCCTCAAGATTTACTAAAAATGCTATTAATGATAAAGGATATTGGCCAATAAGGGTTGGCGAAATTAATTGTCGCACTGCCAATTAAGTCAAAACCATACTTTCATTAAGATCCACAGCTGAGTAATACTAGTATGAATAAATACCTTTTCAAAGCTTTTTTTTCCATATGCTGCTTCGAATAACTATTATTAACATTCGAATCAAGAAAATTGAAATGCACACACGCAGGGAATTAAACTCAATAATCCTCTTACGGCGGCAGAAAACATGCATCATAAGTAACCCCAAAAACACACACACATACAAACCAAAAACATACCCTCACATACTTGCACAAAACATGCACAGATACATTCAGAGCCCAGATATCAAGAAATCAGCCTCCATCTTATCGAAAACATACTCCAACACAGACTCGCACAACACGTGCACATATCTATATAATAAAATAGAACGATTTTAAATTTTGGAGACAAAGAGCGGCTTAGATTGTTTCGTAACCAAAAAAGTCATCATCCAACGAACGGGGTTATCTCAAACTGTTTCAAGCTATTGACGTCTCAGATCGTTTTGATCTGACGTACCACATTAACTCTTTTGAAATATTTTTGCTGCTCAAAATTTTTAGTTTTCAAAATTAACACCCCTACATTGAATTCGCCTCTCAATCTCGTCCCAAATCAATGTCATCTAAATCTAAAATTCTGTCCAAATCTAAAATTAACGTCCATATTTAAATTTTGGCCCCCGCTCATGCTGCTTTAAATAATATCCTTTCCATATCAGAGAAATCACTTTTCACATCACTGTTTCAAAATATTCAATATAATGATGGTACTATATTATTTATCCTTTATCACCTGCATCCATCTCGATTTTTTCACCCAATTATTTCTGATATCCCATTTCTCCTCTGTCTCCCTCTCTTTCTCTCTTTGTTCCTCCTCTCGATCTTTGCCCCCTACGAATAGCTACCTAGGGCCAACCCAACAGTATGGAAAAAAAAACATGGGGTTTAGGCACTAAATTTTTAGAAGGCTCCATAATTTTAAGTACATCACTAGCCCACAAAAAAAAATTAAATCCATTAAATTTTAAGTCCTTAAAAAAAGCTCCAAAAAATTAAATCCAATAAAAAATTTTATTGTAATAATTTGGGTCTATAATCCAATATATAACATTAAAAATTTAGAAATTAAAAAAATAAAAAAAATTACTCAAAAGTTAACTCATATTTACTTTCACCCACTCTCTCTCTCTCTCTCCAAATCCAATAAAAAAAACAAAAACAAAAATAAAAGTTGAAATTAAACACTCTCTTTCCTTCTCTATGGTAAAAAACAAAAACAAAAGTTGAAATCTCTTTCTCGACAATATTAACACATCTTTCTTTTGTCTCCATCTCACATAGAAAATTAAAAATAAATTAATTTTTTTAAAAAAATAATACTAAAAATAAAAAGACATTCATTTAATATTTCTACTTTATGCCTCAAATTGGCTTGAGTCGCCCCAGTAGCAAACGACACCCTTTTATCTTCTCTCTTTTTTCTCTCCTCACCGAAACCCTATCTCTTCATAGCAACATTATGGAGGCAACATTGGAGACACAATGATCAACCATCGACAATCTTGAAGCCTCGTCCAGGTATCCCTCCCCCTCTCTCTCTCTCTCTTTATCTATCTATCTATCTATCTATGCGTATGTCTCCCCTTAACGTAACCACCCCTTCCTTCCTTCTCCTCTCTGCCACCAAAACTCATAACAACCCACTAAACATCCTATATATCCAAAGCCAAACTCTTACCTGCAAACAACCAGCACCTCCACCCCCTTTCCTCCCCAGTCCCCACCACTGCCACCGAAACACCAAGTGTTTATGTGATTACTTCAATGAGCGGGCCAACATTATCCTTATTTTTTAGTGAACTTACTTTTTCTCTGCTGCAGCGACCATCTATTGCACGACAGCGCAACTCCAGTGATCAACAATGGCGCAACTCCAGCTGGACGATAATCTCCTAAAAATAGTGGTTCATTGGTTTGAGTTTGTTATATTTTTTAGTTTTTCATATTTTTAGGTTATTTACAATCTTTTTCTGTACGTCCTAGGATATGAGGACCTAGGGTTGGTTCAGGCTAAGTGGTCATTTGTGAACAAGGATGAGTTCATCTATTTCTGGTGTTTGTTTTGTCCAAAAATTGCAAAGAATTCCAGAAGAACCAATGAGCCCTTTTGATCAAGAGCCAACCCTTTTGTTTTTTTGGCACATTTGGGAATGGTTTGCATCAAAAGAAAGCAAAAATGACAAGAACTACTGTGAGGTGTATGTACGATGTTTAATGAGTTCTCCATACTGCTATTCAAGGTTCTTTAGGTTGTATTGTCTATGTTTCTAAATATTATTTTCTCTCTAAAAAATTTCAAATCTTGACTTCAATTTAATGCTTTGTGCACATTCATAAATTTTATAAGTTATACACTATTCCTGCAGTATACTGAAATTCAACTTAATTTGTTGTCAATATATCTTATAGTTCATTTGATTTGTTGCCAATTTGATACATTATTTAGCTTGGATTGTAGTTAAAAGTAAACTCGCCTTCTTGAAGCGGTACCGATGGTTACTGAAGATATGTTTTAGGTTTGGAAGTGATAATGATGGTGGTCTTAGTGATGATAGTTAATCTCGAAGTTGTGATGGATGGGTGGTGGTGGGGTAAAGCTTTTGGGACAAATTTGTGCAACATAAAATTAACTTAGTTGATGAAATTTTGTTTGAATTGAATAACAAAATTAATTTAAATAGTTGACTTGGTTATATTTAATTTCAATTTGAGCACAAAATTTTGACTAGTTTTCAAAATTTAAGCTAAGTGGTAATAATGGTAATGGTGGTAATAATTCTGTATAGTTGTGTTTTTAGAGGATTTTGTTTCAATTCTTTATGGGACTCAAATTTTATGTATTCAGATTCTCAATTTGATAATGTTAACGTAGTTGGATTTAATCATGAAAATTTGATTAAGACCAGTTTTATGGCATGCTATCTCTCCACGAATATGTTTAAATATGATATATGAAAAACATCTTTATTTGATAAGGTTTGCACATTTTCATATTTTTGTAGGGTCTTATTTTTAGAGAGAATTTAGCTGTAATTGTTTGGAAGAATAAAAACAAATATTATATTTAGAGGCACTAGCATTCTCTAAACTATCATACTATGAGGACAAAAAATGTAATTTAACCCGATAGAGCGTTAAAAATTTTAGTTTTAATTGATTTAGGTTTTGTTGATGTTGTTTATTATATTTTGTGTTGCAATTCATCTCTTAATCCCCATTCCTTCCTTTCTATCTCATATTTATTTAATTGCTTTCATACCACAATGATTTTTGAGTTTACTACCATTTGGATATCAATCAATAATTAAACGGTCATTGAATAATGTTTGAGATTGTTTTGATTTATATTCTATCAATTTTTTTTAAAAAAAAATAATGGGCCCATATTATATTTATCAATGTTTTTTCTTAGTTTTTCTAATTGACAATTTTTTAAGGCATACAGTCTCTTAATGCCCATGTATTTGCTTTTGATTTTTTTTTGTTATGTCCACGGGCCATCGCTAGTTTATATATATATATATATCAGATGATAAGAGTGCGCTGATCAAGAAATCAGCCACCAACCTATCAAAAACAAAACTTCTATGGTCAAAAAAAAAACAAACAAAGAAACTTGTACATCAAAAATAATACAAATTTCGCAAAAAATTTACCTCAGCGAGGAAACTTTTGATGAGATCGGAGATAAAGAAACCAACTACCAGTCTGATCAAAAAACACAACAGCAAAGAACAACGTAAGAAATTTTATACGGGTACCAAAAAAAATCCGATCAGACTCGAAATAGCACCCAAAATGGGTCATATCTGAGATAATTTGCACGATCGTGCATGTACATAAATATGCATAGAATCATTCATGCATGCAAATATATCGATTTGTGTGTGCTTCGATATATATATCCACGAAGAGAGGAAGAGAGAGAGAGGAGGAAAACCTTGTTCTACAAAGCGTTTCCTGGTCGTCGATCCGTCACCGGTCAGGTATAGAGCAGAATGACAGACAAGCTCTGGATCTCACAGTGCACCAACCTCCGATCATCGAAATTGGAACGATTCTTTTCAGCTTTGGCCACGACTAGGTTTTCAAGTCTTCGGCAATGCTCGTGCTTCGCAGGGCTTCTCTTCTCGCAGAAGAGAAGCCGACGACCAGACAGCGAAGAATTTCCAACGTCCACTTCTCGCGCGCCTATATATTTTGCTTCGCAGGGGTTAAGTGTCTTTTCGGTCTCAGTCTCAGTCTCAGTCCATGTGCTATTTCAACCCAAACCCATGACCCGCCTGGAATACGTGGGCTTAATTTTAAGTCAATTGGATCTAGACCCTCTTAATTTTAAAATTCTACAATTTCCCCAATTTGAGTCATCCACACTCAACGCAACAGCTGGTAATCGAGTCAAGCTATTTGAGTTTGGTTCGTTTTGACCTCGATTTCGACTTATTTTTTAAACGAGTCAAGTTTAAATTTTTTTTTAATCAAGGCTCGACTTAACTTGTTTATGTGTAAAATAATTGAATTATTCGTACTCGACTTGAGTTGAGCTCATTTTTAGCTCGGCTCCTTTAGAAAATTGAATTCGATAAGCTCAATTCAATTATGAGGCCTACCTAACACTAACTAGGGATTGTGTTGTGTTCCAGTCGTTTCATATCAAAATTTATTTAATTTTTATCCAACTTATTTGTAATTTGTGTTGTGCTGAGTTCATGCAATATATAAACTATTTTTAATGAGTTCTTATCGTGTGTCAATTATGTTTAGCGAGTTCATGTTGTGTGTCGACCTATTTATTCGAAGAATCTAATAAATTCACCATGACATTCAAATTCGTGAATTCTAAAGTCAAACTACTTAAATCTATATTGATTTTGTGTTGAATTTGTAGGCAGTGTGTAAAATTGTCAAACCTATAAACTGTGTATGAAAGAGCCCAAAAAATAGTACAATATGCCGGCCCAACTGAGTAAGGTTGATAAGAGATCACTTTTGTATCAAAATTTAGTCTATCTATATTAGGAACCTTCAAATTTTTGATTACCTGTATATTTTGATCCTATCCAACTCTACGGATCAGTTATCGTTAAAAATCAGGTTGGCCAATGAAAAAAAATTTAGTCTCCCGCAAAAATCAAGTAGAAATGCGAAATACCCATAAAAATTTTGTATTCTTACCTGACTTTACTTGCATATATGTGTGTGTGTGTGTGTTAATGTGTGCAGAAATCCTAAAATTCCTACGGCTCCTCTTCTTTCTTGTTGTGTTTTATTGTAATTGTTTATGTATTATCGAATTTATTATGTTTTATTTAGTATTATTAATTTATTGTGTTGGTTAATTGATGCAAGTTGATTGAATTATTACGATCATCCAAAAATTAATAACTAAAAAATATATGTTCACTCAATTTCTTACCCAGTTGTTTTGGACGGAATACGAGTAAGAATAGTATACTTGATCGAGTAGAGTCGGTTAAGAAAAAATTCTTTGACAAAATATCGAATAGGAAAATAGAATATCATTTTTCTTACCCTAAAATACAGTGAACACCCTTGATCTATACCCATCTTAGTAGTAATTTGTGTTGTATCAAATTCATGCGATGTGTAAATTATGTTTAGCGAGTTCATATTTTATGTCTACCCTGTTATTTGAAGAGTCTAACGGATTATCCCGTTTATCCCTCAACTCTAAAAAAATTCAAACTCAAATTCTTAAATCTGCATTGATCTTATATTGCATTTTGTGGGTCATGTGTGAAATTGTCCCGTCTATACATTGTTGACAACTGTGCTCATGTATGTGCAAACTGGTGTGCAACATGTGCATAGCTCTATTTGCGTGCATATTGACTATGGGTGCAATCTTTGACCCGGGGATTGGATTTGGACTATATATTTTAGCCGAAAAAATTAAAAAGAGGTACACTAAATTAAACTTAATTGTAAAAAAGCATATATAAAAAAATGTTAGGTAATTAAGTCCTTAATTTTGATACTTATTTGTATATAAGTACATTATTTGAATTTTACTAATTTTTTTGTGACATTTTTGCTCTCCATTAATCCATGTGTATTTAATGCACCACTTTTCTTTAAAAAATGGTGTATTAAACATCTCTTAGTTTTATGGGATAACTTTAATACATATATATATATATATATGTGTGTGTGTGTGTGTGTGTGTGTGCGTGCGTGTATATATATATATATATATATATATATATATATATATATATATATATATATATAGATATATATTTATGTATATATATATATATTTATGTATGTATGTATGTACTTGTTGTTAAATCTCTTATCTAAATTTTGAATTATCTTTTAATGCACTTTGATTCATGTATTTTTTTTAGAAAGTGGTTTTATTTTCAAATTAATTTAATATCCAAATAGTAAAATAATGCAACAATAACAGTGTAACAGTAACAATGTAACAATAAAAGTGTAACAGTATAACACTAACAGTGTAACAGTATAACAATAACAGTGTAACAAGCTATTTACACAAAATATTATACTATTACATTTTGTCAAACATATAGTTTCATATAATTTTATTCAAAATAGTCTATCTTTATTTTGAATTTGTTACCACATATACAAAACTACTGAACATTATTTTTATTACAGTGTATTTGTTACACTATTACATTATTCGGATATTAAATTAATTTGAAAATAAAACTATTTTCCAAAAAAAAAAAAATGCTTGAATCAAGGTGCATTAAATATAATTTGAAAACAAAATCACTTTCAAAAAAAAAAAATACGCATGAATTAAGGTGCATTAAAGATAATTCAAAATTTAGATAAAAGATTTAACAAGCATATATATACTTATTTATACATATATGTATATATATACTTGTTTATACGTATATGTATATATATACTTGTTTACACGTATATACTTGTTTATACGTATATGTATGTGTATATATATATATACATATACATATTACATGTATTAACAAATACACATGAATCAAGATGCATTAAATATGTATTTATATGTATTAACAAACACACATGAATTAAGGTGCATTAAATATAAGAGATTTTGAATTAAATGATCCTAAAATGGGCATTTATGTATTTGTAACTCACATTTTGTTCTATGTACTTTTTGTCAAATAAGTCTAATTAAGTGTACCGACTTCCAAAGAACCCATTTTAGCCCAATCAAAATTTGGGTAGACCAAGTTATATATAAGTATACCAACTAATAATCCATGCCTAAAGACACTCGGTAACACAAATAAATCGAACATCAATTTGTTATGTATTATTTTATTATGTATATGGCTAGTGGGTACCCATCCTTAAGGGGCTCAGGCTTATAAGGGGGTGGGGGAGACAACTCTCAGTCGATATGGGACGAAGCTCTGCGCGGGCACTGAGAGGTAAAGGCTACTGGATTGCCCTAAGAAGGGGTCTAGGTCAGCCAAAATCCTTCCGTTCAAGGATGAGATCCAAACGCGCGATTTCTACCCCCAACACCACCTAGTAGCCTTTGAACTCCATCCCACATCGGGTAGGAGTCATCCCCCCCCCCCCCCCCCGCCATATAAGTGAACACTTCCTATGAAGAAGGTACCCACTAGCACAATTTTTTGTAAGGGATTAATCCGCACCGGGATATCCTCCCCCCACTGAAGGATTCTGACTGACCTGGACCCTTCCTAGGGCAATTCCATAGCTTTTACCTCTCAGTGCCCATGAGAACCTCATCCCACATCCACTAATAGTCGTCTCCCCCCCCCTCCCCCGGCGGCATATAAGCCTACGCTTCATATGGAGGAGGAACCCACTAGCACTTTGCTTGTTTGTTCTCTACGTCAGGATTCAACATATCAATAGTCACCATTTGTTGGATTCTTTTGTATGTAACGGTTGATCAAAATTACAAGTCTCATATCACAATTACAATATAGTCGGAACGAATTACAAAAAAAAAAAAAAGACCAAAAAATAATTTTGAAAAAATGGACACGGAGAGTACGATACTAAATGGACTCTAGCCTAAAATCCAAAATTTATAATATGTGATTAGGACTCTTTACTTTAATAAACTCTACTGGAACAAACTGACAAAAAACTTATAAAACAACAAAAATTATTTTTTTCTAAAAGACAAAAACCTGACCCAAAAATCTAGACATTTTGGGTGACATTCAAACTATTAACTACTAAATTTCAACCATCTGAGTTATCCTGACAGTATACGGCGGTGACCTATTTCATTATTAACCTGAATATAAAAAAAAATAAAATTATGCATGCCTATTGTTACTATACCAATGCTTTACAAATAAGGATTCACTATAGCCACATCAAAACTTCATAATCACCTACCATCCTTTAGATTCTCCCTCTTCCCCCAGTATGATTAGAGGTTACAGGGTCAACTTCTTTAGATTAATGCACCTTCAACAAGTTCACCTCTGATTTCCTTCTGAAAATTCAAGCATGTATTTGGTCCTACCCGCAAGAGAGAATCATGAAAAAGTAACATCGTGGATTTGAAATCAACTAGATACAGTTAAAAAGTTCTAATTTCATTTCCACGCTAGATTCCAGAAAAAGCTCTAACATCATTTACATTCCAAATAAATGGCCAAAAATGCACCCTCAAAATTAATAAACCAACCATGCTATTAACCTCAAGCAAACAACAAACCAACCTTGCTAGTAATCTCAAAATTGCAAGTCTTCTTTAAGTAAATATAACTGTTTGGTCTAGCTGCTAAACCTATTAAAAAGGTCTTCATGTACACTCAGTTTCTGAATGTATAGCCAAAGAAGTGGAATCTATTACCAAAATACGGTGGTTTTAAAACTTAATTACCAATATGCAGCTGTTTTGAACTTATTTATCAATCTACGACAGTTTTTAAAGGCGGAATCAACAAATCCGACTTCATGTGAAAGCGGATTTACTACATCCGACTTCTTTTAAAAGCGGATTTAATGAGTCCGACTTTACTGAAAAAGCGGAATTAATAAATCCGATTTCTATGCACTTAGACCCGCTTTCACATACAAAGAAAGCGTATGTGATAAATCCGCTTTCATGAGAAAGCGGCTTTGTCAATCCCGTTTTCTAATGAAAGCTGCTTTGTCAATCCCGCTATCTAATGAAAGCGTTTTTATCAACACCGCTTTCCATGTGATGATCAAAATATTTAGCATATTGGAATAAATAATAAAACTAACTTTATTTCAGCATATTGGAAAATTAAATTATGACATGCACTT